GGAGCCACTAAGTCATTCCAGCTTCCACTGGCATCAGTAGGGAAGGATCAGCCTCTCCCAGCAGCCTGCCCTAACTTCGTCTCTGTTTCATCGATTGCTTTCAAAAGCAATAACTAATTAGGAGTAACAGCACTCTGCTGCCTGAGAACCTGATTGAAATAAATACTCCTCTGAGCATTTTCTCAAGCCGTTTGGACTTCGGTCGCTCGCCCCAGTGAACGCTGTGGCAGTCCAGCGCTGAGGCAGAGCTGGACGTTTTCATTCTTCGCCACGTTTTTAAGTTTAATTTCGTGGCTTTTTATGTTTTGTATTGGCCTATAAATCTTCATATATATATTTATATGGATTTGATCCTGTTGGATACCAAGGACTCAGTCCTCTGCTCTCTTGGATGTTCAGATCCTTCCATCTCCTCCAAACGAGGTTTACTCCAGCAAGCGCGCGAAGAGGCAAATGTTGTTCTTGTTGATTGCCAAAAACCTGGAGTGACTCCAGACAGGTGGGTGCCCGTGAGGACCCTGCAGCGCGTGCTGGTGGCAGGCGAAGCGTGCGCTCGCCCCTACGATGTCATTGTGGAGGTATCCGCCTTTGCCAGCCCATCTCCTTCCGTGCCTACGCGTGGTAAAGCCACAGCTGATGACAGCTGCTGGAACTGCGAGGAGGTTTTCCAGCCATGGTCCCCTCGTCTCATCTAATCAGCAGTAAAATCAGCGCTTACCTGCTTCGTAAAGATGGGTGGTTTCTAGACCGCTGCCATGAAATTCAATTAAACAGGGCTTAAAAAGTGCTTTAATTAAACATTGTCGTGGAGGACTTGCTGCTGGATGCAAAGCGGGGAACCAGCAAGTAGCTCTGATGCCACCACCCTCCCCGTTGGCGGCCCTGGGGACGGGGCTGATGCTTTTTTGCCTCTTCTCACCCTAAGGAGAAGTGGGTGACCCCAGAGCAGCCTGGGGCTGCAGTGGTGCCCTCTCAGGGCCGGGCTCCCTTCTGAGCTCACTCACACCAGGGCACTTCAGGATTTTTCTGCTCAGGCTGCCCGTGTGCTTTTGGATGGCTGTCAAGTTAAGCCAGAAAAGGTGTTTTTGCTTCTCCAACATTTTCTTTTTGGAGTATTGTTTACTTTAAAGCATCAACTGAACGTGCGCCTGATTTTAGGATGATACGAGCCCTGGAAAATCAAGCTTTGGCATTTGTATTTCACAGGAGTTTAGTTCACTTACACAAGTATAAACCTAAAGAAACACCCAGAGAGAATTTATTTTCTATAACAGCATCTCTGTGTATTGAATGCAGCATTTGAGATTGAATTTCAGCTTTCTACCTCCCCCTTGCTTGAGTCTTACAGCATTCACAGGCATTCGTCTTTTATCCTCAGATTTTCCATGCTTCCTCTCAGCTCCAAGCTGATTTTTATTTTATTTTACTTCTGAAGTGGAACTGCACTGGTTAATTTGTTTTGGTGCTTAAGCAAAAAGATACCACCTCTGCATTTCTCATCTAAAAACTGGTGGGAGGGACTCAAAAATCAGCTTGCCTTTTTATTATTATTATTTTTTTAACCCTTTTTGAGGAAAGGGAAGCAGCAGAGCTTTCAAGCGAGCCAGTCTGGTCTTTTCCAAGCCCCGTGTGTTGAAGATGTTTACAGGCATTGCGTTGCACTTCTGGTTTGGTTCGTATAGTTTGGGGAAAGTTGTTTCAAGTCCGTGGAGCTCCACGTGGCTCCGACGGCAGCTTTGCTTCTCCTGGCTCAAGGCTTTACCGATGGCTCCGTCACTAAGGTCCTCATAGCACAAAACTGCCGGGAGCTTTTGGGATGAGCTTCGGAGGGTTTTGACCTCCTCCAAGTTTTACACTTGGCACAGGCAGGCAGCCCTCCATCTCATCTTTTCACATTGCCCACCTACAGATGGGAGCCCTGCTCTGCTCGGTGGTACCGGCATGGCGGGTATTTCATCGGTGCCGGTGGCACCTGTGCCTACGTGAGCCTTCCCTTCCCAGCTGGTGTAGGTTGGCGTAGGGACGGGAGGGAACTTGCTTTTCTATCGGTTTTAAATAAAAACACGTCACAGAGGGTCACAGCAACCATAGAGGTGCCAAATCCCTTCGGATGCCCCGTTTCTTGTGCCAAGCTGGGGCTCCAGCTGCGTTTCCAAGTGCCTGTCCCTCCTTGGAAAGCCTGCGCTGCTTCCGCGCTCGCCTTCCTCCAGCCTTCAGTTGGAGCCACCCAAAAGGTAAGAGGTGAGCAACTCCCAAAGCGCTGGGCTCAGCTCTGAGTGGGCAGAGTGGGAATCCACATGTCAGTATGTATTTTTTTTAATACAGAGGTATCGGAGTGTGTTCGTGGATGAAAAGACATGGTATTTAAATTTCAAGTCATATCGTCCGTTGAGCCAGAAGTTGGATAAAAGTATATTCATAACTTTATTCTGCCATAAAAGAGTGCGGCGAGGTAAAAAGAAAAAAATCCTTGGGTTAAAAAAAAAGTCCTTGCATTATTAAAAAGGCGTTTTTAGAGATTAGAGAAGAATGGCAAAACCCACACTAACTCTAACAATAATTGCTTTAAACTCCATGTTACTGTCTAGTTTCTCTTGGCGTGGCCAGTGACAAAAAGACTGTTTTTTAAAAACAGCCGTGACTTTCAGACCCTTGAGCAGTATTGCAGTTCAGGTATGTTTAAGCTGCAGACGCTGCAGGGTGGAGGATGTTTTGTTTCTTTAAGAATCTTATTTTTCCATTCATTTTTTCAATATTAACGGGAACATTTTTATTAGGCTTGTTTTGGTTTTTTTAATAACCTTGTCAGTTTGGAAAGGCAGTATCCAGGTAACGGTATGGATATGAGGAGGAAAGAAGGGATGGGTTTGGTTTTTCAAACGTTCTCTTGTACTTGTTCCAGCTGGCTGCTGCGGGAGGGAGAGTGTTTCCCTTCCTTGCACATCCCCACGTTAATCAGATCCCGAAGGGAAGGGTCACGCTCCGGCGGGAAGGGTGTCTGCGAACCCTGGGGAGAAGGGGAGCGGGGCGGCGAGCCCCGGCGGAGCTCACGGGTCGTAAAGCCTCTCTCTTTCTCTTTCTTTTCTCCCTCCCATTTCCTCACCCCCTGCCCAGAACCGCGTGCCCCAGACGGCGACGAGAGGCCCTGCACCGCCGCCGAGGTCCCCTTCCCGGCCGTGACGACCGCTCAGAAGGAGAGCCACACGTGCCACCGGGCGCCACCTCCCCTGCCAGCCAAGAAGCCCTGCTCGCTGAGCCCGCCGTCGCCGCTGCGGCTCACCGATGCGCCCGAGCACACCTCGGATGACTCCTCCGCCCACGCCATCTCCCTCACCTCCTGCGTGACGAAGGGCATGAGCTCCTGGTCGCTGCCGGGCGACTGCGAGAAGGCTCCGTTCACCATGATGGAGCCCGGAGGCATGTCGGCGCTGACGGGCGACTGCTTGATGCAGCCGAGCCGGACCTGTCTGGGCTGCTTTATTGAATCGAAGGACGGCATTGATGCGGAGCCGGGAATAAGCTTGAAAGTGGGGGATATAAATAGGGATTATGACACCTGTTCGGTCTCTGATATAGGGATTCACTGCATGAGCACAGGAGAAACCATGAGATATGGGGATCAACTGCTTTCAGACCAGCTTTTAAGCTTCCCTATGCATAAATCGAGGGCAGCGGACAAAAGAGATGCAGAAAAATCTGACAGTGATTCAGAGGACCCCACTCAGAAAAATTATTACGAGGGATTACTATTAGACAAATGCAACGGTGAGGAACCTTTACTAACAAATCCCAACCAGGAATGGGGCTATTTCGAATCTTTCATTAGTGAAAGTAAAATCGAGCTGCTTGACCTCTGCTCCAAAAACGAGCTTTCCGTAAATCTGTTTTCCGAGGAAGACGTGGATAATTACATGTTTGATGACGACGACTCCACCTTGGGAAGCGATGTCTGCTCCCTAAAGATTAGATACGAATCTTTCCAGGACAACGTGCGGGAGAAGACCACCACCCTGCAAGAGGACGCCCAGTTCAACTTCTTCCCCAGCGTGTTTGGCAACTGCACCAAAAGGGACAGCAGGAGCACCCTGAAAAGGGGGCCCGGCAGTGCCGCCGACCCTTCACAATTCAAGTCTGAGGAAGGCATCATCTGGGGGGAGGAGGAGGAGGACGGCGAGGAAGAGGACGGCGAGGAGGAGGAGAAAGCTGCCTTAAATAAATCTTGCAACAGCACGGAGATGGTGCAGTACGTGGGCTCCAAGAGGAGCCACTTCTTGGACTCGGTGAATTCCACGGAGGACTCCGGGGAGTTCAGCGACGACAGCACTTGCACAGAGTCCTCCTACGACGTGCTGCGGGATATCAAGGACTGCAGCCGGTACCTGTCCCGGGACCACTCCGGCTCCTTCATTCAGCAGAACTACGGGTTGCGGGCGAAGAGGAAAGTGCGATACAGCGACGACTACCTGTACGATGTGGACTCCATCGAGAACGAGAAGATCCTGGACAAGAAGGAGTGGCTCCCGGACGGGCCCAAGGAAGAGGACGACGACGAGTGGTGCCCTAAGAAACGGCGAAAAGTCTCTCGCAAGGAGCCCCCCGTTATCATCAAGTACATCATCATTAACAGGTTTAAAGGGGAGAAGCATATGCTGGTGAAGCTCAGCAAAGTGGATGCCAACGAGACAACTGTTACCCTAAACGAGGAGCTGCTCAGCAAATATGAGAAGCTGGCCCCGCTGAAGGGCTTCTGGCAGGAGAGGCAGCAGAGCCGGCTGGATTTGCTCAGATCGTCTCTCTACCACAAGCAGAATTTCTATCTTAACGGCTCAGATGCTTCGTTCCTCCCTCACCCACGGAAGCGAAAATGCAAGCTAGCAAACCGGCACCGGATTCAAAGAATTAAAGCCATCGAGCAGTCAGTGAACAAGCTGGGCTCTTGCTCCTCCGATCACAAGCAGCCTTGCAGCAGCAAAGAGGACGCGGGCCTGAAAGGGCTGCCGGCGTTGGCCATCGCCGCCCCCAGCTGCGCCAACGGATTGCACGGGAGCGACGTCGCGGGCATCGCCGCCGCGAAATGCAAATCGCAGGAACGGGAGCACAAGGGGCCGGAGAGGAAAGTGCTCCGCAGAATCAAATTCAAAAGTGAGGCCAGGTTGAAGTGCAAGAAGATCAAAGCCGCTACCAGTACGGCGGAGGGCTCCCCGGCGCTGGAGAACCAGGACTCTACAGCGCGTCTGAAGGACGAAAACGTTCCGTGTGCTTCAGACAGCTCCCATCTCCCGGAGTGCCACGAGGAGAAGCTTGCTAAAAATTCTCCTTTCCTACCATCCACCTCCTC